ATAGAGAGAATAAGAAAACAACGAATACAGACGAATCATGAATAGACGTGTGAATGTGTTTATACAAAAATAAATTTATTAATTATCACATGTTGTATTTATGATAATTTGGACACTTAAGTAGTTTGCCCTAAGATAGCCATCTAAGATGGTGACAGTACAAACTATGGTGAATGTTACCATCCATCCATCATAATGGATACCATCCAAAACCTATTATTGATGGTAGCTAACCCATTGAGATCCCATTTGTTTCTGACAACCTCTTGGAGCAGTTGAGGATCAACACAGCTAGGAACTCCCTTCACTCGGTTATAATAACACATCACACACCTGAGGTGTCTTTCTTCCACACAGCTTACGAATGGTGGTTGATACATATCCTCCATGTACCGCTTTCTCACCTGTCAAAATTAAAAGCATACCACAACCACTTTATTTCACGCCTAACTAAAATATTTAGCATGTCATCTATTTTAATTCTGCATAATTAGTTAACTTTGAAATAACAAGTACAATCATACATTAATTTATAAAATTTGATCTTGTTATTAGATCACACATTATGAAAGTTTTATATAACAAAATTATATAACAATTCTTAATCTCCTGCATCCAATTCTCTCTTTAGCTCTGATTAGTTAACTTTGACATAATAGTATTTAATTATTCCTTTACTATTAATCCAAATTCCATTTATTGTTTACTAAAATATTTAACATGTCATTAATTCTCATTGTGCAAGATTAGTTACCTTTGACATAACATGTTTAATTATACGTTACTTTCTAAATTTTGATTTTATGATTAGCCACACATTATAAAATATTTATGTAAGAACGTTCTATAATAGTTCTGAATCTCCTACATCCAATTCTATCATAAGCTCTTGATTATTTAACTTTGACATAACAATATTTAATTATTCCTTTACTATTAATCCAAATTCCATTATTGTTTACTAAAATATTTAACATATCAATTTTCATTATGCAAGATTAGTTAACTTTGACATAACAGGTTTAATCATACGTTACTTTCTAAAATTAGATTTTCCCATTAGACCATACATTATAAAAGATTTAAATAACAACGTTCTATAACAATCCTTAATCTCTTGCATCCAATTCTACCATAAGCTCTTGATTAGTTAACTTTGACAACAATATTTAATTATTCCTTTACTATTAATCCAAATTCCATTATTATTTACTAAAATATTTAACATGTCATCAATTCTCATTATGCAAGATTAGCTAACTTTGACAAAACAGGTTTAATCATACGTTACTTTCTAAAATTTGATTCTATCATTAGACCACACATTATAAAAGATTAATATAACAACGTTCTACTAGTTTCTTGCTTGGTCGGTTTTATTTTTCTGATTACTTAGTTATGTATGTTGAATAATTTTATCGTGGTGTTTGTGTTGGGCCGACTTCTTGTTTATTTGTTTGCCAACTCTTATTTTCTCGTCTCCTTTCATTATCCTTGGCTTCTTGCACTTTCATGATTTAAATGATGACTTGTAAGTTTATTTTGTTGATGAAGCAAATGATATTGCATATATATTAAACTTGGATGGTAGGTACTAATTTGTTCTAGTTTGGTGCTCTGGTGCTTAACAATAACATCTTGCTCGTAAGTCATTTATCACGGGTCAATAACAATAAGAGTTTCCACGTCATCACCAATTGGGAATATTCTTGACTATTTGATTTTTGATTGGCCAAGAATATCAACTTTAGAGGTTGTATGTCGCCTGCATTGATTTTTTCTTTGACATATCAGAAAATTTGAGCCAATATGCGTTTGCCATTTGGTTCAACCCGGTCATAACAACATCTTGCAGAGGATTTAAACCATCGTCTGTAACAATCGAATGGAGGCGAATTTCATCTTCTTTCTCAGTTTGATGAATATATAACTGTGCAAACTTAGAAGTTGAGCCAACAGTTAGTAGTAGACTGCCAATTTGATGATAAATTTAGTCCCTAATAGAAAATACGTATGGTCCCCACCCATAATTCAAACTATGATCAATCTGGCCGCCCATTTAAATGAAGCCAAAAGCACCATTATAAAGTCTGTTGCATTCCAATACTGGAAAAATCTCAATAAGTTTGGTTAAAAACTTAAGAATTGATCATTCCCCACTAAGAATGTTGTGGCAACACAGAGATCTAGCTATACTTTTTTTTATCTTCACCAGAAAAGTCATTGGCCTAATACTTTTTTAGTCTAAATAAGAGTTAGAAATATTTAGCTTTATATATTTCCAAGTATAGTTTATATATAAGTGCATTTGATAATTGTTGGGGATATAGCTCGGATCCAGTCACGCAAGTAAGATGGCCCAATGAACCCCCCGGGAGAAAAGACGCGTTCGCGAGTGACGGAAGCACTAGACAACGTCATTTCGCTTTGCCCAAGCCGCCGTCTTTTTACTCTGCCCAAACCGGCATCGTTTTGCTTTACCCAAGCCGGCTTCATTTCGCCTTGCCCAATTCGCCGTCGTTTCGGTTAATTCAAACGGGGAAAAGGAGCCGAGAAGAACGGCGTCGTATCCTCTGAAGGAAGAGATTCTCCTTGCTTGCTCTTCTCTCCCCACTTTCTCCGAGTCTCACTCCTACACTCAGTTAGGCTCAAACAATTGGCGCCCACCGTGGGGCCGAGTAGAGAAGCAGTAGAAAACCAACCAATGGTGGAACATAACCCCAACTCACCTGATGAAGCAACACCCATCAAGGCGATGACAAATCCAAGAGTGCACGCGGAAACCAACAACCTTAACACGGTGCTCCTCGAATTCTCTTAAATTTATTAAAACTTCCAATGAACGTTCTACTTGCTTGTCTATACTCGGTTGGTTGAATGACTTACTCCTATAGCTAGTTCCGAGACTCTAGCTCTTAGGCCCCTAATTCCAACTGATTACACAAGTTCCTCCTTCTATCACCCCTCATTTACTAGGTGGATAGGTGCTCCCTCCTTTTAGGACAGGCCAATGACACAAAAGATCATCACGAACTCTTACATTCCCCTTTCAACGGTCCCAACTACCTCGTGACCTTTCGTGATTTGGGTAGTTTGTAAGGACTCTTATATCCCATTTCATCCTCTTTCTAGATTGGCGTTGTTCACTAGCACATTGTTATTCTTGATCATAGCCCGTCCTCTACCTCGATTATCTTGACGCTTGTCTTTTTCCTTGTAAAGATTTGCTATCAGCCTTATTCCCCAGGGTCATGTACCCTTTTCTCTAGTGACGCAGTTTATCTACAAGGGTTCCTTTGTCGTCATATGTAAATGACCATGCCTCCTCTCCGCTTTGACCTATTAACTTCTTGACGTCCTTTCGTACTCCCTGTAACCTATTTATTCCCTCATTTGCTTCATTTATACTACCCTAGCTTTTCTAAAAGTCTAAGCTCTCCACTGGTCCTTGTCACAGTGTTGTAATAGTGTCGAGCCATCAACAACAAAAACTAGCTGAGGGGCTTCTTGGGGTACCTCTTCGTTTCTTGACTGGTTGCCCACTTTCCACTGCTTAGGACCTAACATCATCGTATTATCATAGCTACTAGCATCTGGTGATTTTTCCTCTTCCTTTGGAGATTCATATTTCTCCCCTTTGTTTGTCTTAGCTTATTAGATCATCCACTTGTTTCCTAGTAGTAAAATCCTCGTACTACTCTCTCAACTCTTTCAAAATCCTTGAGGTATTCCCTTTCAATTGGCACCCCTTTGCTGGTGTTTGGTGCGCACATTTGATTCTACCTCCACAGACCTTTGCAACGTTCCTCCTTCCTTCTCTAGGTTGATGACGATGATCTGATTGCTAATGTCCGAGTAGTTGATTAACTAATTCAAAACTACTATCCATCATGATGATGAGATACTTGATCTTGAGAGCCTTTGAGATTCTACTTGGGTTGGTCATGTTTCTTTCATCCTTTCTTTCTTACTGGCGATCACCATAGGCCTAAATTTCTCATTTGACAAACCACAACATGTTAACTAAATCGCGTCCTAGCCTATTCTTAAACAATCGCACCCTGGCTACCATCCCTTCATGTCGTGCCGTCATAGTTATTCACCTTAATATGATTAGAGTAGACTGGAGATTCTATAAACTCTTAAAAGAAGATCCTTGACTCGTTTTCCTTTCCTTTAAAACAAAAGCCTTTAAAACTGAGACCGATATTCCAGTATTCCTTGGAAACCAAGGAACAGAGGAAACCAGGCTCTGATACCAAAATGAAACACCCTAACCCGGCCGGGTACTACTTTTATTAAAATGCCCTTGATAAATAAAATACTCAAATCTTAAATTGCAGCGGGAAAAATTTTCATAAATAAAATGCTGAAAACACACACTTGTAGTTCAGAGCAAAGCCCAAACACGTGGGCAAATTAAACTCAAACTTTAAATCTCAATATGATCTCCATTTAATATTTGTTGGAATTGCTTTCGCTTTTTACTTCACGATACCTCCATCGTCGGGATCCTAGTGCACGACAAGAACTGAAGTTGACTGCCGCCTCTGTTCGCTGTCAAGATTGCCGCTCACCCCTCTGAATTTCCTTCTCTCCGCTTGACTTCGCGATCCAATTAATCACTTCCCTCAGTGCCTTCTCCTCCATTCGCCAATAACCCCTTCTTGTCCCCTTTCAATTTCCAGGGTCGATGATCCTCATATTGGATTTCAATGGGACAGAGAGGAGATGAAAAAAAAAACAAGTTGTGCAGCGGTTGGGAGAAGAACAAGGATGGCTTATTTAAATGGTGTCGAGAGTGGGGTGGGGTAATTACTAACTAGGGTGAGCTTAGGTTTAATTGCCCCGGGGTATTTTGGGAATTCCATAGTTACGGGTGAGTTTAATCCGAAACTCAGTTCATGTCCGTAACTGTCTCGTTTTGTGTCAGAACTCGACACCGTTTGAACCGATAGTTCACATTTTTAATCCTCATCGATAAAACGGTGGAACTTGACCCAAGGGCATAATATTCATTTTGACTTTTGGGAAGAGCGGGGTGTAACAAATTTCTTCAATGGGATCATCTTGCATCTTCTCGCACGAGCCCAACATGTTAGAGCAGAAATGAGGAAAGGTGTGATCTGCCACCAGAGGACTTTCCTGATCATGATTATCAAGGGAGTTTTCTGTGACAATTTCTGTATGCTCCTCAACAACCCCATAGCCTTCGTCATCCTCCAGCTCTTCTAGTGTGGTAGCAGAAGGGTGATCTTAAGCAGGTTCTGTGCAAACTTGCTCCACCCACTCTCTTTGTTTCGCGGAGCACTGAACATCCTCCTCCATTTCATGGAGAAATGAGGGATCATATAAGGGGCAAGGGCTTGGATTTGAATATCCATCTTGGAGCATGATCTCTCACTGTCTCGAGCAAACTTCTCCACGAGAAGCCTCAATTGTTTGTTCGGATCTGCCAGTGGAGTGTAGCATGGCTCTGCAGAATGGCCTCTGAAGGCCGCCATGGACAACTCCATCTCAAACGGCCCCTCTGGCTGTGGGAGGAATTCTTCTTGAAAAGGAGATTGTTCTTGAGGTTCTCAAGGGTCTGGTTGTTCTCCGTAGTAGGGGATTTGGTACTGAAACTCGAATCCATAGTCTTCTCTTCCTTGATTGCTCCAGGAAGTCTCGGGATTATACCACACGGATGGTGGTTGATACCCCCAATGACTGGAGATGCCATGAGGATCCATGTTTGAGATCTGCACCAACAAAAACCAAACACCCAAGTGCAAAGCAAGGGTGGAAAAGAAAAGAAAAATGCTAAAGTAACAGACTTTCACGTTTCTACAATAACCTAGAGTTCCCCATCAATGACGCCAAAAACTCGACACGCTACGACACAACACCAAACTGCGACCAAGTGTAGTCACAGATTGGAAATGCAGAATAGTGGTAAGTTTACTTAATCAACCCGGGGTCTAGATCTACTGCCTACTCCGTGATTACCTATTATCTAGCGGGACTAAGTGTAGAGAGAGTGATTCTAAACAAAAGCAGTAAGAAAGCAGGAAATTGTCAAAGTTCTTAAGCAAGGGAAGAGTCTCTCGGGAACGAGTCCCCCTAGCTCCTTAGTTAGGTCAAAGTTGTAATTTCCTTTGGTTTATTTACTATTGATTAAACTGCTGAAGATCCGACGGTAGTTTGGAATCTCTTAAGCTGACCAAGCCCTCTCAGACAGACTAACAGATAGGTGACTAGCCTTCACCGGGATAGACTGCTGAGGCAATTAACATAGAAGTGACTAACTCTCGTATAATCAATTCACTACTACCGATTGATAAGCTTTAACAACCTAATCAAATTCTATCTATCTCAGGTTGCAGCAGAAATTAAGAAAAGTTGATCAAGCTTCAATTGACTCAATGAATTATAATCAAAAAGTATATCAATCCAAAAGTCATTACAATCAATATCCCTAACACATGGAACTAGAGTTCTTCAAACCCAAGTGAGAGAGTTCAACTCCATAGAAAGAGAAGAAAATAGAATACAAAGCAGTCATACTCATAACAATGGGAAGAATATGCTCTGGGATGATAATCTTCACTCCATGGATGAATCCAAGCTTAATTGATGAAACCCAGCTCCAAAATCACCTCTAGGGTTTGTTCTTGGCACTTTCTCTCTTCACGACTCTGTTTTTGCTCTGGAAAATCGTCTCCCTCTTCAAAAAAACCCGAAATTGGGTTAAAAACCCAGTTCTGCACGATCACACGGCCAGGCCCCACGGTCGTGTGCAATCCCCAGCTGCCCGTGTGAAGTCCTAAAATGCGGCGTTTGATTAAGTGACACAAAGTACGCTACACGACCAAAAGTAGACAGCCGTGTAGAAATATGGCCTGCCCGTGTGAACTCTCTGGTTATACCACATGTCAATGGAGTAAGGCAACATATAAGGCGACATATAAGTCTCTCCTAAACATTACTAAATGGAGGTAGAAAGTCAATATTAAAGGAGACAATTAACGTCAATTACGAAAATAATTTTGCTATATAAATATTTTCAATAGTTCAAGAACTTTGTGAGCTATTGAGCTATGATTATATGAATTCATGAGCTATATTCTAGTCATTAAGTTTTGAGCAAGTTATTAATCATTCTAACTGACGTGAGCAATTGTTGTCGATTATTATTTCATTCATCCTGCAGTGCGAATAACTATTTTTCTTCCAACGCCTAGGCGCGCTTAGTCTACGCCTAGGCGAGCTAGGCGCTAGACAAAGTCTCAACGCCGCCTTATCCATATCGCCTTTTTGAACCTTGTATAAAATAAGGAGCACTTCTATTATACTATATAGCATTGGTGCTTTAATGTACAACTCAAAGTTGTACCATAACATTAAATGTATAAGTTTAGGTTGTGCCATAAAGCAATTTGTACTATTATGTTATGGTACAACTTTACAACTTGAAGTTGTACCATCACATAAAAGTACAAGTTCAAGTTGTACCATAAAAGAATTTGTACAAAAAGTATAAGTGCAATATGAAGTTGTACCATAACATAAATGTACAATTTCAAATTGTACCATAAAGGCAAAAACCTATAACACCTATACTATATAACATTGTAAAATTTCTCTAAAATAAGTTGTTGGCTTATCTGGCAGTTTTAGGAGTGATGGATTGTGCTCTCTTTAATTCGGTAAAAAAAATAGATTTTGTTAAGCATAGCAAATGGCAATTAGTGAGCCACGAACACATAAAGGAAACTAAATTTTTCCAAGGAAAAACATGCATATATATAATATTATCAAGCACTAGTATCTAAATCCCACAAAGTTTGCATGGTATCAGTAGTCCTAACAATATTAAAAGACGGAGACAATTGTAAAACTACTATTGAGAAAGATAAGATTAAAACTTCAAAAGTTGGGCTAATGATAATAAAGGAGATGCTAACATGTAATACATGTTGCATTCAAACGTCCTATGATAGAATTAAATCCCACAAAAATTATAGACTAGATATAAGAGAATGTAGCTCAACAATATATGAGAAGCAATACTGATACATATTTGATTCAAAATTAAAAGTTACAAATTATTCTCATAATGATCTTTTTTAGAGAAACCTGCTTATATTATTAATGGATACTGTTTAAACAAATAGACTCTTAACTAAGAAGAGAAACCCAGAAAACTAGTGATCTATCCACCCAACACACATCTGCCTCCCAATTACAAGCTATATGAGACACACAATGGGCTTATATGTTATAAGCTCTTTTGATAAAAGCCGATTCGATCTTAGTGAAACAACAATCCATCTCCCCAATTTCTTTGGCAAATTGGCCCACCTCAAGGATTGATATCGACTGGCCCGTCACCAACCTTTTCGTCACCTGGAAATCTGTCTAGACGGTTACAGATGATAGTTGAAGTTGGTTCGCCATTTCCATACCAAAACTCACCGCCATTGCCTCCGCCTACGATTGTCACCGGGTGCGTCTCACCGCTACGATGAATCGGCCTATCTTCTCTCTAACCACCTTCCCTCAGCAAACATCCAACATCCACCAAAATTGTGTACTTCGTTCGCATCGAGGGACGCCAGCCACCCGCATCACTGCATTCCATCTCTATGTTCGTCATTTGCATTTCTAAGTACTCCATCAGCCATTCCTCTGCCCACCTGATGATTTCCCACTCCTCTAATTTTTGTTTATTCCACATCTGGCTATTTCTTTGGCCCCAACTGAACGAGAGAGCCACCAAGAATTTGCCGATATGTTCTTCCGACTCTGTCTCTTGCAGGCTGCAAAACCACTCTTCACTGGTAAGATCCTCCCCTCTCTCGAACAATATCCTCAGATTTGTAGGTCTAGTAACCCTTCGAACCCACGCACACTCCATAAAAATATGTTCTTGTGTTTCTAGCAAATCACAAAAGGGGAATCCTGCGTTTCCTTTCGTTGTTCTCTCTAGGATTTTAACTCCTATAGGTAGAATGTTCCTGATCAACCTCCACGCAAATAACTTAACCTTTGGGGGGATCTGAAGTTCTACACCCTACTCCAATTCACTGGAGTATACCTTTCACCCAGTTCCTCATCCTCTTTTTCTTTCCATAGGCGATAAGCTGATTTCACTGAATACTCCCCCGAGGATTCCAAGCTCCAAACCCTTTCATCCCTGCAAGTTTGTATTGGGATTGGGATTTTCTGAATCTATGTTCTGTCTTCGAGTGAGAAGTAGGCTTGCAAAAGATCATGTCGTCATGTCCTTGTTTCTAGTGACGTTTTCACGTAGCCAAATTTGGGAGCTTGGTTCTTCCACTTGGGTTGATGGAAATGGGAGGTTAGGGTGTTGTTTTAAAGGTAAAAGCGTCCCCTACAAGATGGCATGGATTTCAGGTTCATACAGTGTCATTAAGGCTACTTTCCAAGACCTCAAAGTAGCTATCTCAAAATTGGCAAACTGCAGAATTAGGCTAAGTCTGGAAGCATGATCAATAAGGTCACTTTGGGGCTCCATTCAGGGCAGAGGGTTGAGAATCGGGTCAGAGGCTCCATACTACATGAAATTATGCATGTTAATCTACAGAATGGGCATTGGGTGATTTATTTCATACCTGGAAGTCATCCATCGAGGGCCTCAAAGACGGGTCAAAGGCTGTTTGGTGACTTCGAGTTGAAGGCAGAATTGTTTCATTGTTTCCTTATTTGGATTGGATTTTTCATTCCTTTTTCGTTTAAGCTTTGTTTGTCGAGTTTTAGTAGAATTAGGAGGTTGCTTATTCGTTGTTAACCTAGCTAGCTAAATAAGTACTCTTTGATTGCGTTGTAACAGTCAGTTGAAGTTTAATAAAGAACCCTAGTTCATTGAGTCTTTCAAGCTCTTTGATTGTCCTTGTTGCATGGATTCAAGTCCATCAACGAGCGAGCTCAGCATCGATTGATTCACCACATCAATTGTGCACGAGTTGCACCATCGTTTGATCGAGCCTCTTCCCCGGAATTCGTTGTTCAAGGTGCACCTTCCACATCCATTTTACCCTGTTCTTGCCTTGTTATTTTTTCGTTTTTCAATCAACAATCTGAAGCTCTTGAGGAATTGCAAGTTCGAATCGGAAGCTCGTGGGTTTGGAGCTTATCACTTCCTTTCTTTGAAAGAGGCTTGAATACTGGGGTTTCTTAGGCTATTCATTGCCTCCTATTTAGGTTAATGCAGGGCAAACCTCTTATTTCGTATTAGCACCTAGGGTTGGTTGTGGGTGGCTGTCAGAAGTCCGATTCGAGGGTGAATTCTTGGAAACCCTTAGTCAATAGGTTGAGAGAGTCACATTGGTGGCTTGAATCGAACTCCCTTTCCTTGACCTAGAGACCGAGAGAGTATCGCTTGGCTACTTGTTTCACTTCCCTACGGTTTACAACCACCTTAACACACACGACCATTCGATCCAACAAGTCGTAATTGTTAGCTAGGGAGAGCAACACCCGGGTGAAGCCTTTTCAATTAGTGTCAAATACATTTACCTTGGCAAACATTTTAGCTATAGATCGTTGTTTACACAAAAAATAAACCGCTAGATAATTTTACAAACAATCGAAGCAGGGTTACATGAACCGGCCCGGGTTTGTGAATCTTGCTTGTGCTAGAAATTTTGTGGTTATTTTGAGTGTGTGCGGGGAGGTGTATGACCCGGAGTAATCCAACACGTTTGGCGCCACTAGATTAGGATCTCAACTGCACTCTCCGACACTTGGCTTGTGAGAGGGAACTAGGGGAGGCAAGGAGGATAGAAGAGGATGTTGTGTAGTTGAGGAAGGGGTTGATTCCGAAGAGGAAGGAAGTGAAGTCGAGATGGCGGCTAATCAACCCGCTCCAGGTGGAGCTAACGGCAGCGGAGGAGCAACTAAGGACCATGGGCTATTACATGGCTCCAAGGTTGGCGGATATTTAACCTGCCATTAGACATCCGCCCGTGGCCGCCAAAAATTTTGAGATGAATCCCGCCCTTTTCACCATGATTCAAAAATAATGCCCTATTCCATGGGCTTAGCAACGAGTCTCTAAGGGAGCATGTTCAGAAGTTCATTAAGCTTGCGGGAATTTTGAAGATTAATGGTGTCCCCAAGGATGCTTAAAAGTTGAGGCTATTCCCCTACTCTCTTGAGGGGAATGCGTCTCGGTGGCTCAACAATAAGCCGACTCTCTCGATCACTTCGTGGGATGATATGCTCAAAAATTTTATGACTCAATATTGCCCACCTTCAAAGACAGCGGAGTGGCACAAAAAGATCACCCACTTTGAGCAAGAGGAAGATGAGACATTGAGGTATTCTTGGGAAAGGTACTCCGATTACTTCCTCCAATGCCCACATCATGGATTCGAGGAGCAATTCCGGATTGAGACCTTCTATGACGGTCTCCACCAAGACGACAATATCCTCATTGACTCCTTATGTCAAGGAAGATTGATGAACATGACTCCACCCCAAGTGACCGAGTTGCTTGAAGACATGGCAAGTAAATAATATGATTAGGCTTTGAGAAAAAGTGGAAAGAGAAACACCGCGAGGGGAGTGAAAAGTGTAGGAGCGAGTCCCCCGCTTGTAGCCAAGATTGATCATTTGATTGAGGCACTCCTAGAGGACAAGAAACATGGTAAGAGGCCAGTGATGGCGTGTAAATGGTGTTCAAGTACCGACCACGATATTTCGGGTTGTCAAGATGAGGGAATCAAGCACCGCCGAGGAGCAAGTGAGTTTCATTGCTAGTGCTAGGGGAAACAACCCCTATAGCAACAATTCCAACCCGGGGTGGCGAAATCATCCGAATTTCTCTTGGTTTTCTCGTACCAATCCAAGACAACCCGGTTTCTAAGGACTGACCGGAAATTATCAACCAAGGCCTACTTTCATTCAATAAAAGCCGCAATTCCGAGGCTCTAACTTCCAACAATCGTTTCAAGCTCAGGGAGGTCAAGGGTTCCAAAAACCCGATAAGTTTGCAAAA